CCCCCAAAACCCCAAAACCCCAAAACCCCTCAACAATAAGTGTATATTAGGTTATAATAAAAATGGATTTATCCTCCCTTTTCTCATCAAAACTTCTGCCTCTCCTTGGAGTTGCAGCGATCTACCCAGCGGCTAAGTTAATTCTACAACATAACAAGAAGCGAAAGGATGACAGAGTGCTTTTTGCTGTTAAAAAAGTACTGTCACAGAATAAAATCCAGGTAGAAAGTTCTAAGGCTGATCCAAGATCTCGGTCTGATTTCATGCATGATCCATATTATATACCATGAAAGAGATACACTGACGAATTCATTATACAGGTGATTTCTGACGCTTTTTATGAGATTTTGATGATTTTATTTGAGAGAGAAACCTCCCTCAGAGATGTGCGGATGAAAATCTTCAACCAAATCGGCAAAAGTAAGCTAGAAATATCTTAAATATCTTCAGAATCAGGTTTCACTGATCAAGAATATCAGGAGCTCATTAACATCCAGCTTGAAATCAGAGATAATCTGTTTAACAGAATGATTGGAGATCTATCCAAATATCTGAACAAAAAGAAATCTGGTAAGCCTCTGCTCTGAAAATAGACCTTGAAAAGTTGAAATCTACTGAAGAATATTGGCAGAAAACAGATGAAGCATATCAAAGAGCGATGAAGAAGCAGAAGCAGCTCCTCTCGGAGACAGTTCAAGACTCTCTTTCTCTAATTGAAGCACAGTTTAGTGACTACAGACTTAAAGAAATGGACGAATATATCAAAGACACAGAGAGGATGATTTTTACCAGCTTTATGCAGAGACCAGAGTTTGAAACCAGAAAGGCCTTCCAAAAGGAATTCCTCAAATCAATGATCATCAGAAGTGATGAGTTTTACAAAAAGTATTCCTTCTCTTTGGAATACATGGAGGCTTACTTTAAATATACCCAGAACGAGTAGTCAATCTTTTATTTTAAATTGGGGTTTTGGGGTTTTGGGGTTTTGGGGTTTTGGGGTTTTGGGGTTTTGGGG